GCCGACCAGTACGACAGAAGATAATCCGCGCAATCTTAAAGCGGCGTCCATATTTATATCACTCGCGGATCCACTTCCAAGGCTTTCACCCTGCCTCACAAGCCCGCCCCTTACGGCCGCGATCTGTCACTCAGTCGTGGCCCGCCAGACTACATCAAGCCCGCCGGCAAGTGGGCCCGACACCAACTCGCGGCCCATGTCTTCGCTTCTGATCCGCGTCTCAAACCTGTTGGCATCGCGACCCACACAACTAACGCGCTCGCGCTCCCCGGCCCGCCAAGTCAAAGCGCCATACAAGCCCGCCGGCGTGTGGGCCCAACATCAACTCGCGGCCCACGTCTTCGCTTCTGATGGCCTGCCAGGTCAAAGCTCCACTTCGCATAAAAAATAATGTTATCGCCATCAGTGCTTGAACCCGCACCAATTCTCTAGCGAATAAGCAACGCAACCAGCAGACTACAAACCTGCCTGGTGAATCAAGGGCGCAGCGGCCTTTTGTTATTGACTCTACCTTCCGTATCTCCAACATAAAGTTCGAATTTGGGCCGCCACAATCACGGCCCGCCTCAACGAAGCCTACTGTGCACACCCTGCCACGGTTGGTACTGTGGCGCGCCACGCTTTGATTCCAGCCCAACTGAGCCAAGGCCCGTCCATCACTAGCGCCCCCCGCAACGCGGGCCTTACTTCAATCGCGCCCCACTTCAAACGCCATGCACCGCATGGCTCGACACCAACATCTGGCCCGATCAGCTCCAAGCCCTACAAGCGCTGTGGAAAAAAATGCTCTGACGGCGGTTCGAAACCGCGCCACTCTTCCGCCGGACAAGCAGGATCACCAGAAGGCTACATGCGGACCATGTGTTTCAATGGCGCGGCGTCTGATGTTTAACTACTCACGCCCACTCAGTTCCACCGAACGTAAAGTCGCAATAGTCACGAACTATTCGTGCCCACTCAGTTCCACGGAACAAAAAATAGCAATAGTCATGAACTATTCGCGCCCACTCAGTTCCACGGAACAAAAAGTCGCAATAGTCACGAACTATTCACGCCCACTCAATTCCACGGAACAAAAAATAGCAATAGTCACGAACTATTCGCGCCCACTCAATTCCACGGAACAAAAAATAGCAATAGTCACGAACTATTCGCGCCCACTCAGTTCCACGGAACAAAAAATAGCAATAGTCACGAACTATTCGCGCCCACTCAGTTCCACGGAACAAAAAAAAATAGCAATGGTCATGAACTATTCGCGCCCACTAAGTAGGACAGAACACAAAATGATCAACTTGTGTCCCGCGCAACTAGCACACGTGAGCCCAACTCGCGGTCAAATATAATATTGTCGCCACGAGGGCTTGAACTCGCGCCAATCTTGCTTTGCTTCTCCGAAGCGCGGACGCGGTACGCTCACGGAAAAGGAGACCGCCACTCGCGGGCCCAAACTTGCAGGCCAACTCGCGCCCACGCGTTCAGCAGTAACGGAACCCTTCAAAAATATATTATTATTATCGCCGCCGCCAGGAATTGAACCCGCATCACTCCTCCGCGAGACAAGCAACATCACCAGCAAGCTACATGCACGCTTTGTGATTCAATGGCGCAACACTCTTATTTTAACAATTCTTCGCGCCGCTTCGCCAACATAAAACTAAGTACTCTACCCCTCTATCATCATTAAATATTGAAATATTTTACTTTCCTGAGCGTTAATGGCGCTAATGGGGGGCAAGACGCAAGAAGCTGGCACCGCGTCAGTCAAACGCGCCACCAGCTGGGGGGCAACTGGGGTACACAGGGCTCCATCCAAAATTATCGATGTAGATTTTTTGAAAAAAATAACAAGCTAGCGATGAGTTAAAACTCACCACCAGCTTGGGGGGCAATTGTTGGGGGTGTTACTGAAATACTCCGATTCAGACTGAGTAGGAGGGCGCACAATCGACAATGGGCAACACTCGATACCCGCTACAGGTATATAAGGGCTTGAAGCCCTCCAAAGAAAGGGACTTTTTTCTCTCTCTCCTCACTTTCCACTTTCTACTATCTCTCTACACTTTATCTCTCTATCTATTCTCTCAACTCTCTCCACAAACATACACTGACTTGATCGTTGGAGCCCAATCCTGGGGGCATCCCCGGTCTTTTCACAGGTGTCTTCCCTCCCGACGAGATCGGACGAACAGATGACGAGTCGACCCACACCAACAAATATCATTGTTCGTGTCCTGAGCAAGATGGTACAAACAAGCTACATATGAGAAAATTGATCTATATCTTATGATTTTCCTTATCCATAATTCCTAGACTTGTTAAATTGTATATCTAAACCCACATAATGTTTAGAATTTTGAGTACGAATTTTGAGTACGTGAGTCTATTTTATAATTTAAAAGATAAATTATATATCATAGATTGCTTAGATACTTTTATTATGAACGAGTTTAAATTTATGAACTAAGTAATATGATACCAACATAGTATATAAACATGAGATCAATTATCACATGTATCATACATTACATACAAATATTAGGATATTTAATTTATAAATTATCCTGGAGTTTAGTTTAAGGGTTCAACTATTTAGAATAAATGAGTTGAGTCGAGCAGAACTCGTAATCTTAATGATGAGCCAATATTTTAATAAATGATTCGATTCAAACTCGACTCAACTCTGCTCATTTATAAAGTAACCAAGGATTCAATAATTAATTTATCAACCATTCATTATACAAATAGCGACATATCTCTAACTTTCAAATTCTCTGCCTCTCTCTTACTTTTCTCATTCTAGTCTCTACTGGGCTGGCTACCGACCTCACTTTTAAGTCACTGGCATCAACCAAAAGCCTTCATTTATTTGCATTTTCTCCTTATGGCTTTATGTCTTCTTGGTTTTCCATCCCCGCAATGGAGTTTCTCTAGTTCCATTTTGCCATGAATCTCTCTTAGGAGATGATTCCTTCCGCACTTCAGATTTGTGCTCAGATCTAGAGGTCGGTTTTTGTGTACAGTGGGAATTGCTTTTGCAATTTACAGCCTTTTCTTTGACTTTTGGAGTTGTTCTCCTTGCTTCACTCTACATGTCGCAGTGATTCGGTGGATTGGGCTTGATGCCTGGGGTTCTACCGTCAATCGATCGTTGTAGGGATTCTTTCTTCTTCTTTGAGATATTGTGGCTCTGTTCCGCTCATGTCGGCGCCGGTCTGGTTTGGTGGTGTTGATTTGGGTTTCTCCGATGGTGTTGTTGTGGTTGGGTCTTTTGGTGTTGGTGATTTCACTTCTTTGTTTTTGGAGAGTTGTGGATGTTCTTTATGTTCGTCATGGTTCAAGGCGTTGTTGGTGTTGCTTGTCGGTGGACGTCTGGGGTGGCGGCAGCGGTGTTGTGGGTGGGGGGTCTGGTGGTAGTGGGTTTGATCGGCTACTGGTTTGGACTTGCTTAGTGTGCTTTTCAACTTCAGGTCTGGTCGACGGGGACTGATGGAGGTTGCGTTTTAGGGTTGTCTTGTTTCTGTGTTTTGTGGGTTGGTGTTCTTTTGTTTTTGTGGGGTTTTTTCTTTTGGTTGTTGGGCTTCTCCGTTAGGCCTTTTGTGTGTTTAGGTTTTTTTCCCCTAGTTTTTTTGTTTGGGCATTTCCTTTTGTGGTTTGTTTCGTGTGTGGCCATTATTTCTTGGATAATGCTCTTTCCTTCCTGGACTCTGTCTAAACTTTTAACAGTCTCCTATTTCTTAATGAAATCAAGTTTCGTAAAAAAAAAAAGATAAAGTAGCCAAGGCAGAACAAGGTGAAACTCGGTTCGAATCGACTCATTATCAACGCTAGTCCTAACACAAATTACATTACATGTACTCGCAACACACGCGGACAAGACCAAAAAACCCACATCCTACCTAAGCATGCGTTAAATCTATTTGTACCAATGCACTTGGCCAAACCAGAAATCTAAACAAGAGGACTAAAAATAGATAATAAATTTGAATCATAATAATTAGGAAAGGGGATATGGTCTTACCAAATACTTTATTTTCCAAATATGTTACAAGTTTTACATGTATTTTGACCAACATTTAAAAGTTGAAGAAGACTATAGCTCCTTTTACCTTTAACGTGGCTCTGTCATTGCTATCAACGAACGAATTTAGAGGCAATCAGTATCACGACTAAGTGTGATATCAATCATCCAACATTATAGAAAAATATTTCGATCTCATTCAAGCACTGTCGATTTTTGTAAGCATAAAGAATAGGATTGTGGGAACTTGTAGTTTCATTGAGTTTTTAGCATGTACAAGGTGAGTTTATTTATGACTATACCTGAATCACTAACTACTAATTACAATTAAATATAATGGTAAAAAACAAAAACTAACTAACAACTAAAATGAACTAATATCATATGTAGAAGTGTAAAGCAAGGAGTGATTAAAAATAGTTGTGTTGTGAAGGTGGGACGAAAAAGGAAGCGACTTCTTAACAAGCTTATTCAAATAGCGAATCGGTAGGGGTGGTAAACAGTTTACTGGTTAATGGTATAACTGGTAATCGTACCGATTACCAGTTATAGCAGTTTCGGAAGGTAATCGGGGGGCCTATTGCATGTTCCGGTTTATCGGTAACTGGTGGCGCTAACCGTCGTGTTAACTGGAGATCAACAACTAACTGGCACTACCACCACCTGCCCCATTTTCAACCCGCTCCTCCCCTGCTTCTCTTCATCCTTCTTATTCCTTGACTCACACCCTCTCTGCCTGCCCCATTTTCAACCCTCCCTGCTTCTTTTCAATCTTCTCCTTCCTCGACTCTCACCTTTACACCATTATTCCAACCCTCCCCTCCCCTTGGCCGCCCACCAATTCCTCTACTTTCACATCCGTTCTTGCAAACCCTCCAACCGCGTAACCCTTCTTCTCCCACATCCCTTGTGTCCTGCCCTAGATATGAAGCGGTGGCTATGGATTCAGATCTAAAAACGGAGGAGAGAAGGGCGAAATCTAGAAGAAGCATGCATCTACTCTGGAGACTGCGGTCGGCGAGGGAGAGAAGGATGACCGGCAGGAAGATTGTCTTTGTCTACACGATGACATGCATCGCCTTTCTCCCTTCCTCCTCTGCTCTATGACGCCATCGCTACATCTCCCTTCACCAATCGTCGCATCCGCCTTCAGAGGCATCTCCCAACAGAAACTTCCTAAGGTCATCTTAGTCGTCGTCTCCATCGGCTTCCTGGGCACCATTGCCGTCCCAATCGCCAACATCAGCCATCGAATCGACGGCAGTCGATCCACCATCGAGATCTGATTGGCTATCGTCACCATCGCCCAATCTCTATCATCGCCGTCGCCAACAAGAAAGGGAAAGGTCGAATGGAGAAGTGGGGTTCGCTTTTGGTGGAGACATGAAATTTTGAGAAGAGGAGAAGAAGAGGAACCGTGAGAAGAAGATGAATGGCAAGATGGGGGTTCTATTTGGGAAGAAGAGGCGAAGTAGACTAACGAGGAGGTTTAATAATGGTTAGCCGACTAACTAGGTTTCTAACCGATAACTAGTTAGCAGGTTAATCGCTTTCCTTCCAGTATCGGTATTCGATAGTATTTTAGAGGAAAATGGTATACCGATAGCCGGTTAGTTGGTAACCGGTTAACCGGTAACCGATCGATTATCACCCCTACGAATCAGAGACAAAGCATATGTTTTGATTTAGAGAGATGAACACATGATCCGTCGTAGAATAAAGTTAAATTTACCTGGTAGTAATCTAGCATCATATTCCTTAGGGCCTATCAGAACCACTTATGTGATGAACATGTTCTAAGGTGTTTAAAACGACCGTAGAGGCTGAGATTCCTTCAGTTTTGCGATTGAAATAAAAGAAGATAAGTTGAAAATAAATCTAAGCTAGTGTTTGGACAAGGAAAGTAGAAGAGAAAGACGTTGCACAAGCTAGCTCACCCTAGAGTTTCTTTTTTACTTGCGGTGTTACGATAATGGCTATCTGTATGCATGGTTTAGAGATTCCATAGTGGATGTCTCCACTCACTATGATCCTATATGGTCGTCTTCCCTCCATGATACTAATCGTGGGTTCCGTGCACAACGAGGCACATAGAATATTCAACACTCATATTGCATATGTCGTGTTATTCAACTCTATAGGTGTCACGAGACTACTTCCAGTCATGTATTGTGTTTGAATCGTATATATATAAGCCTAATATGAACAATTAAAATCTACAATAAACATAATGAGGCAAATCCACAAAAATGCGACATATGTATAACCAATAATTGTAGCGATTGATACTGCATCATATGAGCTGATTCATGATCAATCCTACTTTACGTCAAGGTGTTACCCAAGATCTGGTAAGAAAAAGACCATACAGATTCCTCCATTGAGCCGCCACATTGTTCAATCGAGTGCTTTCTATTGTGAAGGACGAAGGTGTCCAGCCGGATCGAACTTAATATTAGATTTCAAAATCTACATCACGAGAAATGGTAGTTTTGCTTGAGCACACAATCCATTGTCAATATATCAAATATGCGAATAAGAAATGGAAAAACTCATATATTACCAAGAATTAGAAGTTTAAATTCAAAAGAACCTCTAGGATTTGACAATCTATACAACTAGCAAACTAGCCGCTAACGGGGTCAAGTTTCAGGGGAAACATTAGTGGCAACGAGATTCTTAGAAAAGTCTAGAAATTGGTGGTTAGAAGAGGAATTGATGCCTAAGGCCCCAATTATGGCGCCGACCAACCCAGTGAGTTTGGGCGAGTTTTGAGTTTGGTGGGTTGGTCTGTCGGCAAATGACTCATGTAAAATGTGATACTGAACCTTTACCTCTAGGGGTCTATTTATAAGTTTTTCTTTAAATTTTATAGGAGATAAATTAGGCTTGAAACACCTCTATTGAGGCCATCAAGGTTTCTTCCGGGTTGGCCACCAAGTTTATCATATCAGCAACTTCCTATTGATGCACAATGAACATCTGAATAACCTTTGAGTTGTACGTTGGTACTGGATTGAAACAAAAGGCTCTATGTATGATGCCATATAAGATACCCTAACACATGATGAAATTCTTGAAGGTGTTGATCAGTAGGAAGTTGCTGATATTGACATAGTTGTTGTACAACATATATGTGCTATTTGGTATGGTGGTGATTATATATTGAAGCTTACCATCAAACCATTTGTACATAAAAGGACCAGATAATAAGTTTCCTATTCCCGTAGTAATTCTAAATCTCATGTTGATGGTGTTACAGCCCATGAGGCTTTGTACATATATATGTTTTGTAGGTCGTAAGCCCGTGCAGCCCATGCATGCAATAGGGATGACGTATGTAAGGGTTAGGGTTAGGTCACTTTCGGTTCTTCCCCTTTTCCTTATATACTGATATATATATATATATATATATGGTAATGACTAGCGTACGTCAGGCGTATACTATACATCAGGTGATCTACGGTGAAGCTACACTCAGATAATACGATCAGTACTCAGAGAGTCTTAAGGCTCTCCTCACCCGTGGACTAGTCCTGATCAATAAGGGATACCAAGTAAATCTGTGGTTCCATTCTTGATTTTGTTCAGTATGTCTAACATGGTATCAGAGCCATCGTCCGACGATTCTAATCGCCTCAGTATTCATCCTGATCCGAAGAATTATGCTGTCTGGGAATCCAATTCCATATTTTTTGTTGAGGGAAAGGGTCTTTTGTCGATCCTTGATGGTACATCGAAGAAGCCTACGGTTCCCCCTGCTACCGAAGAGGCTCTCGAACGCTAGTCGCCGAATAACGCTTGTGTGAAGACGTGGATCCCTCAATTGTGCTCGGGCTTCGATTGTTCTTGACTGCTCATGTGATGTGGTCCGATCTCGCTGTCACCTACACCATCCGCAACACTGTTCGCCAATTCACCCTTGAAACCGGGCTTGCCCCGCTGAAGCAAGGAGATCGTGATGTCTCCGCCTACTATAACGACTCGATTCATCTATGGACTGAAGAAGACATCCTCCTCACGTCGCTCAGTCCTACACAGGTCACCGCCGACGTGCGTGCCGATCGCACTCGCTCCCGTATGATGCGCTTCCTCATAAAACTCCGCCCGGAGTTTGAGTCTGTAAGATCTTCTCTTCTTACTCAATATAATCTTCAATTTGACGGGGTTTTGGGTAGATTACTGCAGGAAGAGATTTGCCTCCGTGCTGAAGAACATATTGAATCTCGTCCTGCTGCCGGTGAGACTTTTTTCTCGGCAGACCGCGTTCCCGACTCCGATTCCTCTGTATACGCCGCACAACGTGCTCAATTTCAGCGTCGTCCGGCCTCGGAGCTTACATGCATCTTTTGTGATGAGAAGGGCCATGTTCAAAAGCACTGCCGCAAACGTAACTTCTGTGCTTATTGTAAATGATCCGCCCACATCATCAACAATTGGTGCACTCTGAAGAACCGCACCATGTATGCTGGTGGGGCCTCTGCTGGTGGTCGCTCTGACTATAACCCTCCACATCGGGCTACTCCATCTGCTACGCCTGCCTTTGCTACCCAACCCGCCAGCTCGGTTGGTTCATCATTGTCGGATGAAACCGTTGATAAGATGATTCATTCAGCCATTCAGAAATCCATCCCCGCAACTATCAACTCCGCGTTTGCGACCCTTCGGGTCTCAGGTAAGGCTAAACCTTGGTTGTTCGATTCTGCTTATTTCAATCACATGACTAGTGATTCCCGGTTGTTGCATGATCTTACACCAGTTAAGAATCTTAAGTTTCAAGTGGCGAACGGTTCTCATCTTCATGTGTCCGGCGTGGGCTCCTTGGCTCATGCTCGTGTTCGGTTGAATAATGTTTTACATGTCCCTAAGTTATATCCCAATATAGCCTCTGTGGGAAAACTTAGTGATGAGAATTGTTCGGTTTTGTTCGCACTGACGGGGTGTTTTGTGCAGGATCTGATGACGGGGAGAATGATCGAAAGGTGGAATAAATGCGGCCACACCTTCACCTTTGAAGAATTATCGAGTCGAGCTTCGTCGTCTGCTGTTCGGTCTGTTTCTAGCACTAAGTTTTCTAGTGAGTCTCATTTTCCTAGTGTCTCGCCTATCATTTTGTCTGATGAGTCAAACAATCAGTGGCTTTTATGGCATCATTGATTAGGCCATCCCAATTCTCATCGGTTACAACATATGTTTAAACCAAAGTTATTTGGTGATAAAACAGTTCTTCCTTCCGTTTATCCATCTTGTTCTGGGTGTGTTGAGGCAAAGGCCAAGAGTATTTCATTCACATCTAGTACAACGGTTATTTTCGATCCTTTTCATCTAATACATACAAACCTCTGAGGACTGAATCCTGTTGCACCTTGCAATGGCTATAAATATTTTCTCTCTTCATCGATCATGCTACTTTTTATACTTGGGTTTATTTCCTTCACTTAAAATCCGAGTTATATGATGTTGTTGTTGAGTTTCTCACCATGATTCGTACCCAGTTTGAAAGGAACGTCAAAATGCTTCGATAGGATCCTGGAGGGGAGTTTAGCTCCACCCCACTTCTGGCCTACTACAAAACCCGTGGCATCCTTTATCAAAAGTCATGCCCTGGTGTCTCGCAGCAGAATGGCGTAGTGGAGCGCAAAAAACACCATTCTGTTGAGCTTACTCGAGCTCTTCTGCTTGCATCCTCCGTTCCATCTCGGTTATGGCCTGAAACAGTGGCCATTGCCATTCGTCTTATCAATTACCAAGTAACACATGTTTTACAAAATGTTAGTCCATACTATGCCCTTTATTCTTCTCATCCTCCTTATGCGCGCTTCCGCGTGTTTGGATGTTTTGGTTTTGTTCTTCTTCCTCGTCGTGAGCGTGATAAACTGTCTTCTAAAATGTCTTGTTGTGTCTTTCTTGGGTATAGTGACATCCACAAGGTTTATTTGTGTTTTGACCCTTCTGTTAATCTTATTCGTATTTCGTGTCATGTTGTTTTCTTCTAAAACGTTGTGTTTTATGAGTTCTTGTCTAGTTCCTCTTATCTGCCACTGTTCTCCTCGACTAGACTTCCTGTTTTTGAAGATGATGATGAACAGGATGAAGACCCCCTCCCGATTCCCCCGCCTCGACTGGTTCCTCCTCCGACTCATCGTCTTGCTTGTCCGAGGAGTCACCTGGCTCGTCTTCCAGCTCGGTCAAGAGCTCTCCTCCACCGGCTGTCACTCGCAAATTGACTCGTGCAAATTTTGGGCAGCCACCACTTCGGTTTGGTGATTTCTATGCTCACAGTGCTACTGCTATTTCCATTCC